TTAGGTTCCAGACAGCATTGCTGGGTTCCAGACAGCATTGCCAACATCACTGGGTGTTGGTGTGAGCAGGCAAGGCAGCTGCAGGATATCAGCTTCAGCACCCATGATCCAAATGGAATGGGCTGAACAGGAATCCCAAGCCAGGCCAGCAGGTCCCTCCAAGCCTTCCCTGACCGCATTGTATATGGATCTAGGTGAACTCACAGCAGTCAGACATGATATTCACCCCCACACAGCTACATTCTTACCTGGAGAGGATGTAGTTGTTCCAGCTGAGGGAGCCCACGCGTGAGGAATGACTGATCATATTTCGGAGGCGTTTCTGCTGCTGTACATCCCATAGCTAGAGAGGCAGAACACTTAAGTTTACCAGCTTACAAAAAAAACCCCCACCCTTATCTTTGCCCCACAAGCTTTGGCATTCAGTGTTTTCAATGCAAGACCCAATATAAATTTCTACCTCATGCCTACAGAGCAAAGAGCAAATCCAAATGCTGGAAAACCCCAAAGCCAAACACTGCCTGCTGCTGCTGCAGTTCATTCCTGCCCAGACATCTGGCTGCAGCTGGATGTGAACTCCCTGGCTGGWGAGTCCTCACTAGGCAGGAGCACAACCACTGGTAGACAAGACTGCAGAGAAGACTCTCAGTGCGAGGGAAGCCACAACAAGCTTGCTGGAGAGTAGCAGCTGATGGCAGATGTGCACAGCTACTTTGGGTTTGTGCCACTTCCTGCTGACATGACTATAAGGATTCTTTCAGATAGTACCTGTTATCTGCCACAGAGTACACTGTCCTGAGATGTCCTGTGTGTTCCTCTATCGGAGGTCACCCATTYCACCTGGCAGATGCTCATCAAGGCCAACAACTCGTTTCTTAACAGGGGTAAGGCCCACACACACCCAACAGCCCTCCTACTTGCGAGATGAAGACAGGTCAGAATGCAGAGTGTCCATTTGCTGCTAGTTGGGACTTTGACAAAGGTCCCCATCTTCAGCAATTTGTAGACACTGCTTCTAATTTTATTCCTACACTCACCTGGACCTCAGCATTACTTGTGCCAACAGCAAGGTAGTTTCCTTCTTTAATCCATGACACAGAAGAAACATAATCATCTGGATGCTCCATCTGCAGYAGCTGGATGATCTCTCCCGAGGAGTAATTCCACAGATACACAGAGTTGTCCAGAGCCACTGCCAGGAAGTTCTGCGAGCTCCAGTCAATAAGATTCAGATCTACAATTTGGAAGAGCAGTGCAGGACKCTGTGCTCAGCTGGAGAGCCCTGTGCCCACCTCAGCACTGCAACAAAACCCCTTCACCCAGGGCTGCTGCCAGAGCTTCCACCTAAGCATGAGTGCAGCTAAGGGGCAGCCTCCAGGGAGTCTCCRTGCCCAGCTAGCAGGGCCACATAGCCCCAATCCAAGGCACAGGTACAGCACTCTGGGCCACTGCTCCTGTAAGTCTACACATGGACACTCCAGAAGAGGTTCATGCCAGCCTGGAGGAATAAGACCCCAAATCAGGCAACTTAGCTCCACTTAGCTGCTTAGAACAACACTGGCCAAAATATGTAGCCAGAGTTTTTCTGTTGTTTTCATTCAGATCTTCTTGCTCATAGATGTGGGATTCATAAGCTGACCTCAGGCTGGGTCAAACTCATGCAAAAGTTTCAACAAAGTGAATACAGTTTAACAAAGTTGCACTTAATCTGAACAACGGGAAAAAATGGTGAGGAAGTACAATGTGTTACAATAAGACTCCTTGAGAGTCTTATTCAGAAGTATCTTAATGGAACCAGAAGCTTACAGGAGCCAAAGAACAAAAGTGACTCTAAATTGGTCACTAAGTTGCCTTCCTAAACCCATCCCAACTGCAGAAGTGGGTAGGAGTGGCGGAGCCTCTCAACAGGAGAGAGAGAGGAAGCGACACCGCCCAGTGACACTCCAGGGCAGAACTACCTCAGAGCCCACCCAGCATGGCAGCCTACTTACAATAGTCATTGCGAATTTCAGGTGCATCAAGAATTCGGTCTGGCATTGAGGGGATGTATCTGCCATTCTTCCTGCTGGAGCCAGGTGTGGTCTTCTGGCTGTAGAGCACTTTCAAGTTATTCTGATAGCCTGTGTGCAGAAAAACAGCTTTTACCTCAAGTTACTGTTTCCTCTGGGCCGATCACTGTTCATCCAACTAGTAGATCTTTCCCATGAAAGTCAAACCCCAGAGAAAAGAGATGAGTTATRCCTAGGAACACACCATAGGTGCTCACACTGCAGTGGGAATCCGATACATGGCCGATTTGTCCCTGCTACTGCCACTAAATTCAACATCACTGGCCATTAATAGCTGAAACAGGGTAGGTTCCAGTTTCTTCATTCAAATGGATGTGCTTAGCTGAAAAGCACATGGTTTGCTCTATCCCACCACATTTACAAACAGTCAAGATGCTATGTGTGCAGCAGAGTGTTTGAGGCCTTTACAGACATCATGCAGATTTGCCATTTCCACTGAAGTTCTTCTTAGTTACACATACTTCTGTGAAGAGCTTCAGCATAACCCTTTCACCAGACTTTCAACTTCAGGAGGGCTAGGGGGGAGACACCAGCATGCAAGAGCTCTGAGGAAGTCAGTTGTTCCCTCCTCCGAGTTACTACAGTTCCCCATCCCAAATCTCTCCAGCGAGTCAGCCCACCAGCAAACCCAACATCAATGTCCTACCTTCTGGGGCATTCTGAGGCTTTCCACTGAGGCGAAGGATCTTGGCCTCTTCTACATCAAAGCCATTCAGGTTCACTGCCCAGGCTTTCTGTTGCTCCTAAAGAAAGGAAATAGCCTTAAGGGGGGCTCATCTGAAGCATGAAGCCCGGGCTGCACCTCAGACAAAACTGAGGATGGTGGAGCACGTGCTCAGCACTCTTCTCTGGAATCGGAGGGTACCTGGCTGCACTGTAGGAGGTGGCTACACACAGGCAGCTCAAAGTAGATTTTCCTTAGACCTTGGCACTGGGTCCTGCTCACAAGGTTTTCATACAAAAAGGGGCAAATTCTACATTTCCCATTGCCAGAGGGGGAAGCCCCAAGGGACCATATGCTTCATAAACAGATTTGGGAACGCCGTGTTCACATTCCAGAATAGCTCCCTATACAGTCATTGTCTAGAATAGCTACCACCAGCAGTTTCACTGTGTACAGGCTCACAGCTTTGTGCCACTGTAGTCTACTCAATTCAAAAGCCTCATTATCCCTTCAAAGATGAATTTTGCTGCCAGAAGCCACACAGACCAGCATGAAAACAGGAGGCTCTGTGTTTTCTTGTACCTGAGGAAGCATCCCCAGAAGGCAGCAACGCTCAGCCTCACACACAGCTGCTGTGCTCCTGTTCTGCTTATGGCCACTACAGCTTCCACCTGAGCTCAGGCTCCTGTAGCCCAGAGCTGGAAGCTGCGGTGGCTRGAGCCGTTGGCCTCACAAACCTAGWCAAGTTCACTTCTCTGGCAAAGGTAAATGAGGATGAACTGTTGCATTAACTATTGCATAACACCTATTATTACAGTCATAAGCAGCACACTCACCTTCTTGGTAGGGGAATCCTCAGCAGGGTCATTCTCTTTGGTTAGGAGGAAATTGGCCACCTCCATCTGCATAGCGCTGCGGTTGGGAATGTAGCGGTCTCCTCCAGCCTTTGTTGGTGTGTTCTGGATTTTGGATCCAGATTTACCTGCATTCATGGACATATTGTCTTACAGCAGCCAGACAGCCTCTGTTAGTGCTTTCAAGAGAGACAGCAGAACTAGCACTCAGAGGCATTCTACCAGCAAGGTACTATATAATACACACCAGAGAAGTGCCACAATCATAGCAAGGCTCAGGGCATCATTACACATTCCATACAAATCACAGACAACTCATTTCTGCACCATGCTGTGCCCTGACCATCCCCAGCCATAACCCAGCACCCCATCAGACACAGCCTTGGGTCCGTGCAGCCAGACTGCATCTCAGTGCTCCCAGCTAAGAGGGGGTTGCAGCAACACTAACACAGAGGCACCGACACACTCTCCCACACATGCCACAGCACAGAGTGAGGCACTGCTGGCGACAGCAGCTCAGCCACGCTCAGTACACAGCCAGGGAAGGCTCCACGCAGCCTTCCCAGGCTCAATGCAGCAGCCAGGCCCGCACAGCCTGGCAGCACCCAGCTCTGCCCGCTCCCTTCACTGCTCACCGGGGGTCTTGGAGGGCGTCTTGCTGGCGCTGTGCGAGCGGTTGGCCGGCTTCATGGGCGACACGCCGGCGGCCGGGCTGGGCCCGGGGGTGCCGCTCTCCTTGGCCTTGCGCTGCCAGCGCGCAGGCGGCGCGTTGGGGATCGGCGTGTCCAGCTTGAGCAACCCGTGCAGGTCCGCCTCGAACACGAACTGCGCCATGGCGCTGCGGGCGGAGCAGCGGCCTCAGGACCCGCCGGCAGCGGGACGCGGGCGGCTCCCACCGGCCACCAGCACCCCCCGAGTCCCCCGCTCCCCTCCGCCTCGCTCCCGGTCGGTTTCCCCCGCCGGGAGACCCTTCGGCCTCTTCAATTTCCCCCCGGCCCCCTCCCTTAATCACCTACACTCTCCACCTGGGGCTCGCACAGCSCRGCTCCGCACCGCACTTAAACCCCGCGCGGCCGCGCTTCCCATTGGCCGTTTCAAACCCCAACGGCCGCGCGCTGCCCTGGCGACGGCGCCGCGATTGGTTGGACCGCACGGTGGGGCGGGGCTAGGGGGCGGGGCTTGGCGCGGCAGCGGCAGTCGGAGGGTGGAGCGGGGCCGGGTGGGAGGGGGATGGTATCGCGCCGCCTCCTTGGGTGTCGCTTCCGCGCTGGATCTTCCGCTGCGCGCTGCGGAGCGGAGCAGTTGGGGGCGGAGTGGGGCTGGGGGAGAGGCGGAGGAGGTCGAAGGAGAGGAGGCCGAGCCTGTGTCCGTCCGCTYCTTGTTTATGGCACGGGCGCGGAGGCGGGGCCGCGCTCAGGGCGGCCCCCGCGGCTCCCAGCCGCTCATGAGGAGATAGGACTGGTTGGCGATGTCCGTGGTGGGCGCGGGGCGCTCTGCAGAGCCCCACGGCGGGCCCCGCTCAGCAGGGAGGCCCCCGGGCAGCCTGTTGGGCTCCTGGCGCCCCGGCAGCCCCTTGGGCGGTTCGGCGGCCCGGCAGCCTGGCAGCACCTCCAGCAGGCAGGGCTGCACGGCGTCCTCCGAGGGCTGCTTGTAGAAGGCATTGGCCTGTGGGGAGAGGGGATGCTGCTCAGGGCTGCTCTTGCAGCCTGGGATCTCCGAGGTGCCCCTGCGGAGCCATGTTGGGTGTCCGAGGTGCCCCAGGGAAGCCATTTTGGATGCCCCGAGGTGCCCCAGGGGAGCCATTTTGGGTGCCTTGAGGTGCCGCTGAGGAGCCGTGCAGGCCAGCCTGGTGCCTCCCAGCCCTGACCTCAGCGCCAAGCCGTTGCCCCAGTGCAGCCTGGGGGCTCAGGGGCTGGTCCCTGTGTGCTCTTCTGCAGTGCCTAGAGGCTGGCAGAGAAGGTACTTGGCTGGCTGGGATTGCTGGAGAGGGCTCCACTGTTGGGCAGKGGATCACTGTTGGGGCCAGGGCAGCTCCCCACCATGGGGGCGCTGCTGCAGCCTCCTCACCTGGCTGTGCTTGCTGCTCTCGTTGAGGAAGTTGCCCAGCGCACGGTGCAGGTCTGGGACAGGTGGCCAGAGCTTCTCCTTCACATTGCTGGGTGGGAGGAAGGGCGGTGACACGGGCAAACCCCAGTTCAGCGTGTGCCAGCCTGGGCAGAGCCCATGGGACAGGGTGCCTYGGCCTCAAGAGGTGCAGGCAGGAGGTGCGAGTGGCTCGGGGCTTACCTGTACAGTGAGGGGAAGGTGCACCTCAGCCCCAGGAGCATTCCCGTGAAGAGCAGYGGCACCACTGCAACGCTTGGGATGATCCAGTCTGTGGTGGAGGAGAAGCCCTCAGTCCCTGTGCCCCTCACGGCCCTGTCACCTCTGGCCAGTGTTCGTTTCCAATCCCCCGTACCCGCATCAGCCATGGCATCAACCACCACAGGTTTGGACCAGGCGCTCCAGTTGCCCTGGTACCACGGCCCACCAGGCTGGGCTCGCACCTGGGCCAGGTAGCGGGCGCCAGGGCGCAGGTCCAGGACCTCCTTCCTGGCTGCCCGTGGGACTTGCAAGACCTGTGGGGCAGAGCCGAGTCAGTGCTGACGGCTTCTGCAGGGCTGCCCTGTGTTGCCTYGTGCAGGGGCTGAGCACCACGGCGCAGCAGGGCCAGGGCTGCCCGCCCCGTTACCTTCCACTCGTGGCTGTTCTCCACGGAGTAGCGGAGCTGATAGACCAGCTGCTCCGCCAGCTCCTCCAGGGGTGGCACCCACTGCAGGCTGAGCCTGCCCTGCACCACCGTGGCCTGCAGGAGCTGCGGCGGGTCTGTGAGCACTGAGAACAGGACGTGTCACTGCCTGGCCTGAAAGGGCCTCCCGCCAGCTGGCCATGGGTGGTGTCGGTGCTGGGACTCACCAGCCTGGTGCAACCAGAAGGGTTCCTTGAAGTAGCTGCGCGTGGGCTGCGCACGGGGCCCGGTGACGTTCACCAGGACGGCGATGGCTCTGCCAGTCAGGGGCTGAAAGGTGCAGGTGTGGGTGCCGTGGGCGTCCACGCTGGCTGCCTCGCACCGCTGCCACACGTTGTCCCTGCGAAGAGAGCAGGGAGTAGTCAGCACCTTGGCCTGTCCCCACTGCCCTCGCACTCTGCCAGCCCTGCTGCTGCGGGCTGCTCTGCGGGCCCCGTGGGCCCTACGATGCCTCGCTTGGCCCCACGTCAGAGAGTCAGCAGGGGCTGATGTGGCAGCGGGGAGTGTGGTCCTAGAGGGTAGTGTGGGACATGGTGTGAGGCAGGTCRTGGCAGGGCATGGCGCAGAGGACACAGCGCCCGACATGGAACCGTGCAGGGCCACAGGCCCTGGGCTGTGTGCCCCGAGTCCCAGCGATGCCTTACCTTGTGCCAGCCCTGCTCGGGGGTGCCCGGTAGAAGAGTGTGTGGGAGCTGCCGGCGTCAGTGGGGTCCCAGCTCCACTCGCAGTGCACGCGCTGCAGGTCGGGGGTGGTGCAGAGCAGGCCGATGTCTCCTGCGCAGGCAAGGGGAGCGGGGCAGGAGAGGGCTGCCTCCCCACGCCCCGAGGCACCCGAGCCTGTGTGCGGCCCCTTGCCTACCCCTCGCGCCCCCAACCATTGCTGCCCTCCTCGCTGCGCTCGGCGCCAAGTTGGTCCTGTCTCGCACGGGACTCTGGCAGCGGGGACAGCTGCTCACCAGAGGAATGGGGTGTCTCTGCAACCACTGCCTGGGACCAGGGCCCCCACACGCCGTCCATGGAGAGGCCGTCGGGCTTGCTGCGCACCTGGATGTGGTACCTGAGGCCAGGCCGCAGGTCCTGAAGCAGTAGCCAGCTGTCGGTCTGCACCAGCTCCTGCAGGAGCGGCGTGAGGCTGAGGAGCAGCCGTGGCCTCGAGCCCCGATGCGGCCCTGGCCTCTGCACGTACTTGCCCAGGTCCTGCCGAGACTGCAGCTCCTACAGAGTGCCAGGGTGCCTGGGTGCCGCTGGCCTGCAGGACTGGCCGCCTGCTGGGCTCCAGCGTCAGGCTGCAGGGCACCTCCGCAGAGCCCTCCGCGCAGTAACGGACCTCGTAGAGGAAGAAGTTCASGTAGTCAGCAAGTGGGGGCTGCCAGGTGACCCACAGCTGCCCCGCGGCCCCGGTCCAGGTGGCCGTGATGTTGGCTGGTGGGGCAATGAGACCTGCGAGGGAGATGCTGGTGTCAGCCCTCCAGCAGCAGCCCCCACGCATCTAGCGTCCCCAGTGTTGTGATGAGGAGCTGGAGGACCTCGGGCTGTCCTGCCAGGACCTGCTGGTGTGCCCAGCCCCTGCAGGGGCTGCTGCAGGTGGCACCACATGGGGCTGCTCTGTGACAGGGACCGTCGTGAGCAGAGGGGCAGGAAGGATGGAGAGTGGAGTCCAAGGAGCATCCTAGAGCGCTGGCCGGGACAGTGGGCACTGCAGCATGGCAGGGACTCACCCACAGCCTCCACGCTGAGCTCCCGCGAGTGCTTGGTCTGGTTGCTGGTGCTGTTCACGACGAGGATGGAGAGCTGGCTGAAGAGCCGCACGTCCTGGCTGGGGAACACGCACACGTGCCGTGTCCCGCCGGCCTCACGGCTCTGTGTGGAGACGGCGCACGCCTTGGGCTCCTCCCTGGAGAACGGGAGACAGCGGCCGTCCAGCACAGCCCCTGCGGCCGGGCTGACACAGAGCGCTCCTGGCACCAGGGCTGGAACAGCCAGAGGTGCCACCAGCTCCTTCCCTGCACCCCAATCCTGCTGCACAACCCAATCCTGCAACCCAGCCTGCTGGGTGCCATGGGAGCTGAGTGCAGCGCTGTGTGCCAGGCATACGGGGGCAAGGGCAGCATCGGCACCGTGTCCTACCTGCTGTACCAGTAGTAGAAGCGGCACTTCCCGCCGTTGGCCTCCTCCTCSTCCTCTTCATCCCAGAAGCATGTGAGGTCCTCAAAGGAGCGGGAGAAGCAGAGGATGTCCTCAGGCACCCCCTCCAGCAGCGCAGCGTCTGGGAGGAGYGTGGGCACGAAGGAGTCCTCAGTGCAACCTCATCCTCCACGTGCCCCCTCCGTGTCCCAGACCAGCCCCTGCCTGTGCAGGGCCCAGGCAGYGGGTGCGGGTGCCCCTCATGCCAGCCGTGACGCCACGGGAGGGCCGTAGCACGTGGAGCAGCTCGGCAGTTGGCATGGGTGGTGCCGGCTGGGGGCACGAGGCCTCCTTGCTCCCCCGCCCACAGCGCACAGGGTCCTTTGGGACAAACAAACATCCCAAAATAGCTCTGCGGTTGGCGCGAGGCTGGGCCCGGCCTGGCCATCGGTGGGAAGCAGCCCCCAGCCCGCGATAGCGCTGCCTGCGGAAGGGCATGTGGAAGTGAGATAAGGAGGAGCAGCGCCCCACGGACAKGGAGAGGGCCCTGGGCCTGGTGAGGGGCTGGGGGCGGCTGCCCCAGTGCCCCCAGCCGCCGTCCTGAGCGCCCTGGCGGCGCAGCTGCATAGACAAAGCGTGTGGGACCCCATGGAGGGAGCGCTGCACCCAGCCCTGGTCGCTCTGCTGGCCTGATGGGGCCTGTCCCCATGGCGTGGGGAAGGGGCAGCACTGAGGGGTGCACTCGTGTGACACGCGCCCTGTCGCACTGCTTCTCCATCACTGCTCTGGCACCCTCCCTCTTCCTCATGGCTCCTGGCCTGGGCTCTGCCTCCTCACTCCGCTCAGGAGCTGCCCTCGGCAGGAGGACACCTCTCCAAGCTCTGTGCCATCTCTTGGCCCTGCCCCATGTGCTGAGTGTGCCCGTTCTCTGCTCTGGAGCCCCCTGCACAGCCCTACAGATGGCCAAGCCACTGTGAGACAGCAGTGAGCACAAGAGGAGGACAGTCCGTGATGTCCTTGTCACGCTCCCAGTGTCCCCTGCTCCCGCTTGCACTGAACCAGGCCCTGATCTTCCCAGTCCAGCATTGCCTTCCTCCTTGGCCACAGACCACAGCCTCCTCTCCATAACTCTGCCTTCTGCCCTGCTCTTCCCTTTCCATGCCCTCCTGTTCCAGCTGGCCCTGACTGGCTGGGCACCCTGGTCTCGTGGCAGCACCAGGCCTTCCCTAGCCATGATGGGCTGTGTTTGGGGACAGAGGATGGCCCCAGCGGCCTAAGGGTGCATGAATTTCCTTCCCTCTGCCCAGACTCCATCCCAATGTGCAGGCGAGGACTTGCAGTGGTCCTATGGAAGGAGCATCTCCTCTCAATGCTGGCCATTTCCACCAGCAAAACTCACTGCACAGCTTGGCAGTGTGTGTGAGTGGGGCTTAGACGTAGCGCTGCTCAGCCAGCAGCAGCTCAAGACCCTGCTGAGGCCGTGAGCAGAGGGAGGGTGAGCCCTGTCCTACCTGCCACCCCTGTCCTGGGCTGCTGCGGTGTCCAAGTCCAGCCCTCCGACGCAGCTCCCTACAGGCACTCTGGATACTTTAAGGGACAGGATGGAGACCCCAGAAAGTGTGGACAGACCTAAATATGCAGAAGTTGTGAGCTTCTGCCAGCTTGTGAGCCAGGCAGGGGACGGCTGAGGGCAGACTCGAAGGAATCCACGTAGACATAAGATGACACCAGGGCAGTAGCTCTCAGAGCTGCTGCGTGCTGCAAGGCTGGCACACGGGTACTGGCATTGGCCACGCAGGTGCTTCTGCATCATCCATGGTCTCGAGACATGCCTTCAGATTTTAGCTTGATTTTTATTCAACCCTTGTCTTTATAACACCAAGAGCTTGACTTGAGAGAACAAASAGCTCCTTTCTGCTACCTGCATGGTGCAGGGAGCAGCATCACCCCAAGGGAGCCCGCGGGCCAGGAGCCGGCACGACTGCCCCGTCCCTCCTGCAGGCAGCAGGGACCCCTTCCTCCGGGCACGCCGGGCTGCCCCGTGGGTGAGACGGGAGCTCCATCGCCCATCCCAAGGCCCCACTCTTTGCCCCAGCCCCAGGGTCACGAGCTCCCTGCAGCCCCCTTCCATCCTGCCCCTTGTGCCTGGCCATGTGCGCAGCTGCAGCCCTGCTCACATCCCGTACAGCCCTTCTGTGAGATGCCAGGCTGCCCTCTGCGCCTGCCCCCTCACCCTGCAGCGCAGGGGAGGACGAGGAGCCCTGGTCCTGCATCTTCCCTCTGCCTGTTCCCCCTGTCCCGCAGGGAGGGCTCATCACATCCCTCTGGCTCATCCTTTGCAGAAGAAAGGGAGCCCCAGGACCTACCTTCAGACGTCACGGTCTCGGAGGATGAAGCTGGGCTCAGGAGGCTGAGCAGGACCTCCATGAGCAGGGAGAGGAGCCACCCCTGGCACAGCCAGGTGGCCATCCCTGCCCCACACCGGCTGCCCCGAGGCGTGGGGCAGCGTGTGCCCCAGCCCGGCTCTTCCCAGCTCCCCGACTTGCTGCTGGAGCTCCTCAAGGCAATACCTTTATCTGGGAAGTGTCAACTTTGCTGCTCAGGAAGCCTGGCTGAAGGGCTCCCTCCGCCCCCATCGCCGGCACTTCCCCGTGCTTGAAACCACCGGCTGCTGCCTCAGCGCCAGCCGCGGTGCCAAGAGAGACTGCTCCTATCAGATAGGCAGCACGTCCTGCCCTTGTGGCTACCGGGCACACTGGGAGGCTGGAGTAGGAAGAAAAACAACTCCCGAAAAAGGAGCAAGGCCCCTGCCCGGGCCAGGGCCACCGCTGCTCCCCTGGCACACGGGGGCCACGGCGTGAGGGAAGTCGGTGCCCTTTGCTCCGTGCTGCGCTTTGCAAGGCCCTGATGCTCCCGAGCCGGGTCTGCTCCCCGCAGAGCGGTGGCACCATCCCTTTTGCTCCCCCACGAGAGGGGCTGTAGCCGCTGGGAGCAGTGGCAGGGCCCACACGGACACGCTGGGTACCACAGCGCCTGCGGGGATGGGGATGCCCCTGCCTTGGTGCTGCACCGCAGCTGCAGGAGCCGCCGTCGTGCGGGAAGCAGCTGGCAGAGCCCTGCACCCCTCTCTGCGCTCCCAGATCCAGCTCTGCATCTGCTCCCAAGTCCAGAAGCAGCCTACAGAAAGGGAGGGGAGCGGAGCCTCTACCTCGGATCTGTGGTACTGATGCCCTCAACACACGCACCCAGCAGCGCACCGGCTGAGTACACGTGGTACAAATGCAGGGCCGTGACAAAACCTCCCACAAAACCTCTGCTTTGTGTCCAATTGCCACCACAGCAGGGAGAGGCCATGGCCAGGCCAGAGGGGAGGCTGGCCCTGCCATGGGCGCAGGACAGTGGCATCCCTGGGAGGCACCATCAGGGGCTCAGGAACAGCCCCTCGCCCCTTGCTGTGCTGTGGGGACAGGCTTGCTGCCTTCCCCTGACCCTGCAGCAGCAGCTGACAGCCCCACCAGCCCCACAGCACAGATAGGAGAGAAGAAACAGCCAACACCAATTTGTCATGGTCAAATTTTGTCAAACCAATCCCACTTCCTTCTCCATCCGGCTAATGGGCTCTGCAGCCAGAGAAGCAGGAGGCACAGCCTTCGTGCTGCAGCCAGCGGTGCTGCCTCTGGGCCGGTCCCTGCAGGGGCTCGAGGGGACAAGAAGAGGCGCAAGGTCAGCATCATGGGGCTGCCCCTCGGGGCCCATCTGAGGTACCACCTCACCAAGGATCTCCAAGATGAGGGGAGAGAGGATGCTGCCTAACGGCTGCAGGTGGCACCAGATCGTACTGGAGGCCGGCACGGGAAACCAACAAAGGTATCAACATGTTTGAAACATGACCTGGAAGGGAAAGAAGATTATTTCCCAGACAGACAAATGATGCTTAGGCATCTACTTTGGGATGGGATAAAACTCTGGAGGAATGGGCCGGACTTTCCACAGCCTGTAGAGCACACCTAGATGACTGCCTTGACTGCACACCTATGGCTTAGGGAGCTGAAGACCAGGGCCAGCTGCTGTCAGTACAACAGGCTGCAGAAGCACGAGGCAGGAGCTCCTGGGAGAGGCATCCAGCACCACAGCAGATCCCAAGCTACGCTTAGGACAAATGTGTTCTTGCCAAACACATTAGAGCGTGGTGTTCAAACAGGACAGTCATCTAGGAAGATGCATGAAATCACCCTACAGCATCAGCTGGTCCCCAGGTGGGAAGGGTTCAGGGGGACAGCCAAACTCGGGGACACAACCCGTGCTATGGCTCAAGGCTGGAGAACTGGGGTTGTTCCCCATAAAGAGGGGCCCTCTGAGGGAAAGCTGCAGTAACAGTTTTCAGATATGTAAGAGACTGCTGCACAAAGGAAGGAAATAATTTGTTTTCCATATCCTTGGGGGACAGGACAAGTCACAGTCTTAAATTGCAGGTGGAGAGACCCCAACTTAAGAAAAATCTTTCCCGCTGTGTAATGAAACCTGTGAGGGGGCACTGGGGAATCCCTGCTATGGGAGGACCCAGGCAGCCACCAGGATCCCAGTGAATCACCACCGCAGCAGACGGGCAGGGCCCCAGCTCCCTTTCCACAGGGCTTCCAGTGACGCAGAGCTGGCAACCAACCTCTTCCCCAGACCCTGAGTGTCTGTTGAACTACGTTTATTGAAGAGAAAGCAGAACTGGCAATCTGCGAAGGGCTGGGGCGGAGTGGGAGGCCAGGCATGGCCAGCACCATCTCTCGCACCCCGGGGCTGCCTCATCCACGCTGGCCGCAGTGTTTGCAGCTTCCCCAGGTCAGTGCTSAGGACCTGGCACTGAGTCAGACCCYGTGCACACCRACAGCCGGCAGGGCAGTGAGCTGTCAGGGCTCTGCTTCCAGCTCTCACCCCAGAGCATGGGTATTTATGTCCTCATGCGTAGGCCAGCTCACAGACACTGACAGTGGTCTGAGCTGCAGCATCTGCCAGCTCCTAGGAGAGCCCTTCTCCTGCCAAAATCCTGCTGCAAACACCACACAGGGCATGTGTCCAGGGTCTTGTCCTTTGGGGACAAACCAGCATGCCCCTGGCAGCGTGGAGCCACTGTCAGAGGCCAGGGGCATGCCAGCGTGGCCAGCACACCGTGAGCGGCAGCCGGGGAGGGACGATGCAGTCCTGCTGCGTGGAAGGGCACTCCCAGGAAGGGTCAGCGGGGTTTGGGGCTCTGACCCAGGGGGACAGTCCCTCGTTCCCACGGTGTTATCCCGGCAGCCTGGGGGTCAGTATTGGTCTTCTAGAGTGGGGCCACGAGCTGGTGTAGCAGGGCGGCCGGCTGCACGGTGCTGGGCACAGCCTCATGCCTCCTCTGCGGTGGCATCGATCCCTGCGTAGGTGAAGTTCTCAAACAGGGCCATGTTCACGTAGGCCTGTGCAGGGAACCCAAGTCAGGAGCACGTTGTGACAGAGCGCCTGTCTCCGGCCCCCAGCCCACACTTAGTGGCACAAGAGCAGCACCCTGGGCACAGGGCTGGGAGACTGTGGGGCTGCCTGGGGAGTCGCTGCACTTTGGGGGCTTTGGACAGGGATTTGTTTTGGAGGACCTTCAAGAGAGGGGGTGTCCAGGGAATCCCCAGCCTTTAGTCCCTGTGCAAGGTGGGATCTCTCTAGCACCCCTCAGGAAGCCAGCAGCGCCCAGAGCCCTGGGCCCATTTGTCCATGCACAAACCCCACACCCAGCCCAGGGCAATGCAGACACCCTGCACCCAGCCATGTCTCCACAGGCACCCACCTTTCTGGCCTCCAGCATGCGGATGAGCTGCACGGAGATCTGTGAAAAGGGTGGGCGCTCGTAGGGGCGGTCCCGCCAGCATTGCCGCATCAGCTCGTACCTGGGGCAGAGACAGCAGCAAGTCAGCAAAGGGGGCAGCAAAGCTGCTCTTGTGGGGTGRGGAGAAGTGTGGAGCTGGGTGACCAGGACATGGGACCCTGCTCCTCTCCTGGGAATGGTGCACAGGTCGACCRGCCAGTGCGAGCCCACTGGGGTGGCACAGGGTGACAGGGTGTACAGGGTGTACAGGGACACTGCTGTTGAGCCAAACCACAGCTCACAAGGCCTGGCCCAGCTGTGCACAACGGCCCTGCTCTCAGGACAGCCCTGGGCCAGGGCTATCTGCCCACTTACACTTCATCATCACAGTTGCGTGGCTTCTCCATGCGGTACCCCTGAGGGAGCTTCTCGTAGAGCTCGGCACACGTCATGCCACAGTATGGTGTCCCCCCTGTGGGCAAAAGACACAGAGGTGGCTGTGATGGGGCAGTTTCCTCCTCCCCCAGTGCAGAGCCCACATGCTACTGCCTGGCACCCATAGAGCAGTGCCTGGGTAGCACAGGGTGCCCCCAGCCACTGCTCCTCGGGGTGCTGGGGAGCCCCTCCAAGGCTACAGAAGGTCTCTGCCATGTCTGCAGGGACTCCAATGGACATTGGTGACTAAGAAGAGTCTTACCCAAGCTGACAATCTCCCACAGCAGGACACCGAAAGACCATCTGAAACAGAAGGAGACCAGGTTGTGACATGGAACTATCGTCCTACTCACGGAACTGTGTTCCACTCTTGGGCACCAGCAAGAAGCTGGAGGAGTTTGTGCTGTGACTGCAGCAGGGCTAGGGCTGAGCTGCAGTCAGGAGGCAGCCAGACCTTGGGCAGGSCTGCCCTGACATTGCCTTCTGCCCTTGCCAGCACGTAGTGCAAGAACAGCACTGTGCCTACCGCCTGGGGGCACAGGGAGGGATGGAGGTGGTCATTCCTGTGCTGGTGCCTGCAGGACTTACACATCACTCTTGGTGGTATAAACACTGTAGTTCAGCGACTCGATGGCCATCCAGCGAACAGGCAAGCGACCCTGTGGAAACAGAGGGTGAACATCAGGGTGCGGACATGCCCTGCACTGCAGGGATCTCTGCCAAAGACCAAGCAGCAGCAAAGTCTCCTCTCAGTCTTGAGAGGGACAAGAACAAAGGACAAACTGAGACAGGATCCACCCCCTGAACCTCAGCTCCAGGCTGCTGGTCCCAGGATGGTGGGTGTTTCCATTGCAGGCCTCATGGAGACTCCTAGCTCCTCCCTCACCATTGTCTTCTTCACATAGACCTCTTCCCCTCTGGAGAGCCCGAAGTCAGCAATCTTGGATGCCAGATTTTCTCCCACCAAGATATTTCTGGCTGCCAGGTCCCTGTGAATGAACTGAAAGACACCATAAGTGAGCTATGTCAGCTTGCAAATGTCACCGTGCTCTGAAGATATGGAGGGASAAAGTTTTCTGTAATGTTTCTGCCTTCCCTGGACTTGCCAGGCAGCTGCTTTTGCTCTCAGCAAATCGTCATTAGCTTCCTGAAACTCCAGGGAGCCTCATCCTCTCCCCTGAGTACGGGACAAACAGTAGAAATGAGACAT